AATGGCGTTGGGAGCCTGAGCCTGCACCTCATGGCAGCCGGGGTGCTCGTCCGAGCAAGCCTCAACTTCGCTCGGTGCTGCCTCGCCATAGCCTCCCACCATCCTCTTCACCGCCTCCATGGCACTCGAACTGACTCTTGGCGCAGCACTTTGCGAAGCTTCTCAGAGTGCTGAGCAAGCATCCGGTCGCAGCAGCGGAGATCAACCAGTGTTTGCAAAAGCAGACATGCGCCAGCACACAATGGCGTGTACATGCGTTTACTGCAATTGCGTGCCCACAGACTTGCCGTGTGTACACATAAACACATACACATGCATTTCGTAAGTCTAAACACAGTTTGCATGGAGCACGCAGTGCCTCTAAACTTACACACACACACATACATACATAGATACAGACATACATACATGCATGCATGCATGCATACATAAAGACATCCACCCATGCATGCATGCATGCATGCATACCCACATAAATGCATGCACACTTCCATACAGCACCGCACCGCATTGGGGTATCGAATCGCCGAATCTCCTATGTCAAGGGTCACGTGCACCAATAGATCTGGCACAGTGTGCCATAGAAGTAGTATTCATGAGAAATCGGCGAGGTTGAGATTTGGACACATCTTCTACTTCTCGAGTCTTCCGTCGTCAATACTTCCTCTCCAAGTAGCGATCATCGTGCGAATCGAGCTAGAGACGCACCGAGTGGCATCTCACTATGCTCTAATGCTCGAAGCAGAAGCATCCTCCTTCACATAGTAGATCCTAATGCGAATTACTCTAGAAACTTGTACTGCAATGACCTCATGCTTTTCCTTTCTGGCTGTCGCGGGCATGCCTATGCTCACCCTGCTTGCAGGCAGCGACGGCTGCATCGAAGGCGATGCGTTGGCTGGCCTGAGATTGCGCATGATCTCGGGTTTGCGGCGAAGGTACTGGCGCTCAATGACGCCAAAACTCTCAACCATTCCTAGCTACAAATCGTGACTGGGTCGACGACGTTCTTGTGCTCGCCACTGCTGTACGAGGATGCCCCATGCGCCAGCGTCACGACACGCCGCGAACGCGGACAGGGTTGTCAATTGCGCCCAAAATTTCGAGGACACCCCACGCCAGCATCACAACACGTCGCACACGTCGCAAGTGCCCACAATTTCGAGGACACCCCACGCGAGAACGGAGAGGGTTGTCAATGGCTTTGTGCTTCGGGAACTTTACTACATCAAGCCCATTCAGAATTGAAATGTCGTTTACAGTCCTTGCAATCCTTCGCATTGCAATGGAGGGCTGTGCTTCCCTCTAGAACAAAGAACTGCAGGTCTTTGAAGGACGTATTTTGGATTGCAACTAGGGCCCTACAGATGTTCAGGAGCTCATTAAGTCCCACTTCAACTTTCCATGGATGCCCAAGGGCAAATTCTGCAAAGCCCCTTGACGTCCCTTGAAGTCAAGTTTTTCGGGTTGGAGCGAGTTGAAGCGTCGAAGGACGAGACTTCGACTCCTCTCAGTCCCCGGCTGAGTCCAAACTGCAATGCCACAGGGCGGCCTCAATTCTCATTCAAGGGTTGTGCAAAGGTGTCAACTCCAAATGATGCTCCGTGCTGTTGTTACAGACCCGTAGATTAAGGATAGTTGGATTTTAGGGTTGCGGGACCAACCACCTGCAGCATCCCAAACCTAGAAACCTCGCAGACGCCGCACCTCTCAACCAATTGCTCCATGGCGGAGACTTGTCAAAAATCTTCGCTGTCTACACTACACTTGTAGACCCGGGCCTCAACCCTAGTATAGTTTGGGCACGTGCCCTTTAAACTAATGTGTCATTTGCTCTCTGGCCCTGTCACCAACATGAATGAAGGGAGCAATCTGTAGGCCGGTTGCAGCTTCAGCATGTGGGCATTTGTCTTGTCGAAGCGCTGCATGCCCAGTTCAGCTTAAAGTCGTGAGGTACAGCTGCGAGCCGAATGTTGACAAGAAAGCGCCGAAACTCGATTTGCTATGTGGTCCACGTGCTCCTGCCACGTCTTCCGTGCATGCAGAAGTCTCAAGCCCTCATTCGTTGCTTGCCGTTGGTGGTTTCAGGATTCATGCTCATCGCTTCGCGGAATCATAACGATCAACGAGCAGGATTCTACAGAAACTGGTACAATCATGTTTTTCATTCTGGCTGTCACTGGCGTGCCCGCGCTCACCTTGCTCGCAGGCGGCAACGACTGCATTGAAAGCGATGTCGTTGGCCGGCCTGAGATTGAAAAATGGTCTTGAGTTTGCGTGAGGGCACTCGTGCTCACTCACGCCGAAACCTCAAAAACACAAACTGCCTGCACTGCATACTCTGAAACCCGAAACTCCGAAACCCCATAGTCTCTGCGAAGGGATCCGCGATCTGCAAATCCGAGGGGCCCCAGAGCTTTGTCTGAGGCCTTCAGAAGCTGCAGGGCCCAGCGCCACTCCTGGGAAGTCTAGAGGTCAGCTGGGTCCGGGGTCCTACGTGGAGACTGAAACGGATTAACGTCTCTACATGTAGTCATGTGGCATTACAGTTCACGAAGTAGCATTGACCATTAGTTACCGGACTTGCAACTCTACAATCACTAGAATTGCTTACTTAGGCTGTTCTTCTCTCAGTCCAAGGCACCTGGCACTCCTCGCAGCTGGTCATGCCAGCGCTGTAGATCACGACCTCTGTGAAACACGCGACTGTCTGTGACGCCAAGGTCGATTCCGGACAGACGAACACGACACTTTGTGAGGGCGGCTGTAAGCAGCGGGACCAAAAGGACGCAGCAAACCTGCCCAGCCATCAGCCGGGCCGCATCGGACTCTGTGGACATCACAGAGTGCTCGCACAAGAAGAACAAGGCATATGTCCAGCGCCTGCAGATGCTTCAGTAGTTAGCAAGGGATTCGGCAAGGGCAACCCTGCTCCGCCCAAAACCGTAGAACTGCCTGTGGCCGACCATCGAACTGACGGCGGCACTCATGGTCAAGAGATCTGCCCGCAAACCTCGGGAGCGATGCGGCTAAGTACATGCCACCAACCCAGCGAGCAGGCTTTACAGAATGCGATGGAGTGGCTCTGGGTTGGCAAAGTCCGCAACAAGACAACCACGTGTCCCCAAGCGCTTCCTGCGAGCTCCACACAGACTCGACTTCTGTTTGCTCTTCGATCTGGCCTGTAGCCGCAGCGCTTGCCGCCGCATTCCAGCTCAGGCTCCTTGCAAGCTGTCCAAGGAGCTGCGTATGGTGGCACCAACGCATTACAAGTTCGCAATCCCTGACAGCTGCAAAGCCAGTGTTGTTGACAAGTCTCGCTTGCAATCCGGCGCCACCTTCACGCAGCAGGTGCCTCAGAAGCAGAAGCCGGCGCCTCTCAGAAGACTTGGAGTCGGCGGCCGGAAGGCACTGCCCCAACATAGAACCCTTTATTGTAGAGCCCTACTATAGAGCCCTATTATAGAGCCCTATTATAGAACCCTATTATCGAGCCCTATTATAGAGCCCTATTATCGAGCCCTATTATAGAACCCTATTATCGAGCCCTATTATAGA